CCCCCCCCCAGCCTGGCCTCAGGGGCTGCCCGGTGCTTGGGATGCCCAGAGCCTTCCCCCTGCCCTCCCCGTGCGGAGCTGCTGCTGCCCCCTTTATCTCTGCCTGCAGCCACCATGTGCAGCTTAGTCATGGGCACGGCTCAGGGGGGAAAGAGGGAACCGGAGGCTGAGGAGCAGATGAGAGCTGTGGTCAGGGGTGTCAGGGCTCCTGCTGGGGCAGGCGTTGGCACCTCCCTGTGACCACAAAGCTGGTGGCTTCCCCCTTCGCCCGCCGAGAGGGATGTGACAGAGCCTGTGCCAGCCCAGCAACCCTGGGGGTTTGGTGCGACAGGGCCCAGAGCGGTGGCACCCAGGGGTGGCTGAGCCTGCACTCAGCATGGGGTGATGGGGGGGGGGGGCCCCCTCCCTTCCTCACCCTGCCATGACCTGGAGCTCGGGTGAGGGGCTGGGATGTGACAAGGGACACAGCTCCTCGTCTGCCTCCTGTCCCCAGACCCCCTGCTAAGGGCTGGACATGCCGCCAAAGCTGCTCACAGAGGGATGGGAGGTGTTGTTCAGCCTGGTATGTGGGACATGTGAGGCCCATGCAGCACCTTGCAGATTGGGGGGGTCAGGGCACCTACTGGCATCATCAGCATGGGGTTCCCATCCTCTGCTCCCTGAGCCTGGCTGAAGCACAAGTGTGATGAGGAAGGGCTGAGGGACCTGGGGGGTTTAGTGTGGAGAAGAGAGGGCTCAGGGGGGACCTTATCGCGCTCTACAACTACCTGAAAGACCATTGTAATGAGGAGGGGGTCGGTCTCTTCTCCCACGTAACAAGTGATAGGACAAGAGTTAACAGCCTCAACCTGTGCCAGGGAAAGTTTAGAGTGGTTATTAGGAAAAAATTCTTCACAGAGAAAGTGACCAAGCATTGGGACAGGCTGCGCACGCGCGCCGCTGCACGTGTTCACAGCCCGGTTAGCCGAGGCCTCAGTGCCAGGCAGTGCTGGGAATGGTTGGACTCAATGATCTTAAAGGTCTTTTCCAACCTGGTTAATTCTGTGATTCTATGATTCTATGCCACATCAGCTCCACATCCCCAGCCATGCTCTATCCCTCCCTGTCACATCTCCAGGGACCCACACAGCCTCCCCATCACCCACCAGCACCACCACAGGCACAGCAGAGCAGCACCCCAAGGACACCCTGGCAGGGTGACCAAACAGGCAACGCAGGTCTGCCCTTGTCCCGATGACACCCAAGGGCTGAGGAGCCCGAGGGTTGTCTGGGTGAAGCCATCCAGCTCCTGCTCCTGTTTCTGCTCCTGCCCACCTCCCCAACCAGTCGTGCCACCGCAGCCGTCATGGAGCCTGAAGCATCATCACCAAGCCCAAAGCATCTCCAGCACAGGAGCACAGTCCCAATGGGAAGGCAACAGTCCTCAAGCAGCCAGTGTTGCAGGTTGCACCCCAAAGGCATGTGCGGCACTCATCTACAGAGAGGTCACAGCCTGGCCAGAGGCCAGAGCAGCCCTGGTCCAGCATCAGACCCTTTGAACCAGGGCAGGAGGTGGATTTTGCCCTCAGAAGGACTCCAAAAGCCACAGGAAGCTGCCCAAGCTGGTCCAGCAGCCTCGCCTTATTCTGCTCTTGGAAGCATCTCCAGCACCATCAGCAGCCACATACATGCACATTTCATGGCAGAAGCCAGCTCTTATCCTGACCTCCCATATAAGCAGGGCCAGCCCCAGATCCAGCACCATTTAGAGCAAAGCCAAGGGGAAAACACAGCCCATGAGCTCCAGATCCAGCCCAGAACCCTTATCACCTGGAGAACAGTGTGGACAGCTTGACCATACCCTTCCCTCCAAGTACTTGTATGTGCTGCCTGCAGCTCTTCACAGAACCAGCACCCCAGCAGCTTGCAGAGCTCTGGAGCACCAGTGCGTGGCCAGAGCTCGTTTTCCTCATTCCCCTCAAAATCATGTGAAAATGAGAGTGATGCTTTAAATAGCCCAGGCCAAGGCCAGCAGCATCAGCAGCTCTGGCAGCGGGAGGTCAGAGCCTCCGCAGGTCCTGCTGCAGCTTGCCTGGACCATACCCAACAGCAGTGTTTGTTTTGCCCTTGCTCGCCATCCTCCCAATGCATCCATGACCCATCTGCAGCTTCACAGCACATCCCACGCAGGACAGAGACCAGCAGGGACATGGCTCAACCCTGGTGTCTCCCAGGGGCTGGGGCCCAGCTCAGCCTCCCCCAGCAGTGGGATCCACTGCACAGCACCGGGAAAAGCTGCTCCTCAGATGACCATCACCCCTGTGCCCCTCCAAAGACACCCGAGCACCTCGGGATGTAGACGGCCTTCCCCCTCTCATCATGTGGCAGGATCTTGGGTGGGCAGCAAAGGGTTAAAGCATAATGGGGGGAAGGCAGGGGAGGATGCACCCAGAGGAGCCTTCACCCCTCTGCACTCTGCAGGAAGGTGCTGGCAGCCTCTGGGAATGCAGAGCTGTGCCCTGCTCCCCACCTCGCGCTGGCACGGCCACCAGGCCCCAGGGGACAGGGACAGCACAGGGAACAAGACCCCGGCACTGAGCAGGGTGGCGTCATCACCGGGGGGGAGCATGCAGAGGATGGGGCTCTCATGGGGTTCACTGCGGACGAGCTGCTCCTGCCCCAAGCAGCACACGAACCCACATACCCCATGCGCAAACACACACATACATGAACAACCACACACACACCCCAGGCACACGCATACATACACACACATGTACATACCCCACATGCACACCCGTGCACACACACACGCACACACCCTCAGGAGAGGCTGGAGCCCAGCGTCTGGCACATCCCAGC